GGGGGAGAGAGAGAAACGTCAATGTGGGAGAGATGCATCGATTGGTTGCCTCCCAGATCAAACCTGCAACCCAGGTATGTGCCCTTGACCGAGAATCAAACCCTCAACCCTTTGGTCCGAGGGTGGACGCTCTAACCTCTGAGCCACACTGGCCACGGCTGGTTAAACAGTTTTTAACTGGGTGTCTCAATGATATCTGAACTTGGAACTCTAAGTGGCTTCCTGCATGAAAGGCGGAAGAGTCAGACCCTTGCCTGTTCTGAAAGAGAACCCCTCCTTGCTCAAATGCCATTGACCCCGTTGTGTTAACCTGCACAGCTAATGTGGTTTTGGTGGCCAAAGGAATCCAACTGACTGCAAATCATCTCCAGAGAATGATCTGTGTTGTGGCCTATTACTGATTAGAAAAATATGTCGGTTTACCTAATTTCCAAAGTAAATCTAGATTAGCATCTATTTTACAAGCTATTATTTACTTAAAATTCTCAAAATACACCACATCCTGAGAAAGTTTCATAATGTATATGTTGTAAGTATAGTTTTAAAATGATAATATTTTATCTAAATAGAGTATCTATGAGACTGATTAGTTCAAATTTATAATAAATCACAACATATTAAGTACTATTAAGTTTTGAAGTAAGCTTTATTTTACCTTCCTTATTTCATTTGCAATCAAACTTCCCATGACTTATGTAAAAGAACATTAAATTAGAGAATGTAAAATTTGCCCTCTATATTTCTTAATAATGAATTCTTTAAAATTTAGAAAATTCTATCTATGTAAGGAACAGGCCTTAGAGGGCAAAACAAATTAATGCTTTGTTCTAATCGCAACTAGCATTATTACAAAAAGTGAATGACTGCAACCTGCAAATGAGATTTTTCAAACCTGTGACTAAAAGTGAAGTCAGTCATCTGGCATCGGAGAATCTGTGGAAGTTTTACTTTACCTTTAAAAACACTTTCGAATGTTCATCTTCATGTAGCCAGTCTTTGTACAGAGCAATCCACTGGGAGACAAGATGTAAGACCTTGCGTTTCCGACAGGGGACATCTGAGTTTCCTTCTTTGCCTTGATATGTCTTAGCAGAATAGGTGCAAATGGTTAAGGAAGAGTATTATTGCCTTGTCGAGAACAAAAATATGAGGATCCATTTATTCTTGCTAGAGCATATTTCCTAAAGAATCTATAGGCATCTAACATACAGGAAGAAAAGAGTATGTGTAGGGAGGCCAAAACGTGTACATCGAAAAGAGCAAAAGTAAAGCCACAAAAATGATTTACGTCTACTTGGTGACAGGCCATGAAGATGAGGGTTAGATGATGCCATTGATAGCTGTTGACATAGTTCTATAGGTGGCACAGGTTAATGCCACCTCAGAGAGATACTAGATGGCCCATTAATCTCATGGGTGGCTCCAAGAAATCTGGCTGCACTTTATAGGTGGACACCGTTTCCAGAACAGTTAGAAGAGAGCCAGGCCAGGTAGCCTTTGATCCTCAGAAATTCACTCTGTAAAACCAGTTACTTCTAACGAAGCTCCAAATGAGCACAGATTTCTGAAGCATAATTCATGACATTTTTCAAATGCCCACCCCTAGGAATTTACTTGAAGAAGAAAAGGACTGGCTAACTGTGCAAACATAAATAAAAAAGGATTGCTAATTTTCATTTTCACTGGAATAAAAAAAGGAAAATATGAATAACCTAAATGCTTTAATCACTGAGGATAGTTAATGAAATTATTTACATATCCATTTAACAGGCTATTCTGCAGCCATAAAACCAATGGCCCAGCAGTATATTTACTGGTAGAGAACCTCCCGGTATATCGTTGAGTAGGAAAGTAAGAAAAGAACATGTTAGGATGATCCGTGTCCATTAACGATGCTCATTTATACGAACAATTCCATTACCTGGGAAAGATATACTGACAGTAGCTTCTCAAGGTAATGAGACTTCAGAGCACATGAATTGTTACTATACTTACAAGCATTTTCTAATTTGTATACAAGAGCGATGTGTTAACTATGTTGTTAAAATTATTAAAAAAATAACCTCAAAGGCAACATGCTTAGAGCTTGAGGAATGAGACAGAAGCTTGGTGTTTTCCACCCAACCTAGTGTTTCTGTCCCCCAAATTACTATTTCTGAGTCTCCTGGACACACGGAAAGGTGTACTAGGAATAGGAAATATGGAAACGCTATGATACAAAGCACGGGCAGGCTTTGGGGTGCATGCACAAGTGTCTATATTCCTGAATGCTGATACATAATTGCAAAAAAGAAAACAGATTCTTAATCGGGCTTTGTAAGTGTTTTAAAACATCATTCAGTCACTATCTCCCGAACCTGCAAAAATACATCACAGCCATCTGATTTCTTTAATTCCTACCGGTGAAATAAACTCAGGCAAACATGCAAAGACCCTGGTCAAGGATCCATCTTGTCTAGTTTTTCTCTTGAAGGTCAAAACATAAAGATTGATCCCACATTCTTTCCACTTATGCAAATGTCTTTATTTCCTTTTTCTGTAACTATCATGGCTTGACTAATATAAAGAAGAAAGAATCTGGAAAATGAAGAAATACTGACGGCTTCTTTCTTCTAGGTCAGCGCGTGTAAGCGATGGCTGTGTATATGCTCTACAGTTACGGGCCCGCAGGATGAAGCAATTTTGGGAACTGAAATTTCCACAACTCGTCTTCATTCATAGTTACTACCATGTATTCGCTTAATCATGTTCTCTTCCCTACAAGATGTATTTTAAAAATATTTCCTGGTTACCTTTACATTCATATTTTCTGGTTTTCTGTATCAGGGTATATTCAAATGTATATTCATACATCCTGCGTATGCTAAATTATATTGATTTATACATTTAGCTGGGGGTGGGGAGAGAAATAGTGGAGATATATTCAGCGTAATGCAGTGAACATTAGCCCACCTACGTCTGTGAGCCTAAATAAGGCTCTTTATGACGATAAAAGCTGAAAGTTATTAAATTCTATTACAATCAAAATATCCACCCAACATATCCCAACACAGCACAAATGGCTCTAACATATGAATAATGTTAAAAAACAATGGGGGGCGGGAGCCAAAAAGTAACGTGGGCCGTTCCTGAGAATGCAACAGGAGTAGAATATAAAAGATACCCTCACTAAAATGCACATCAGACTATCTCGGACTACATATGGATGCCATACTTTTGTTTGGGGTTTGCGTTATTTCATAAAAAGGCAAAGGCTGTAAGCATATCAAAACAGTCATGTATAAAGACTCCTGGCTTAAGAGGTTCTGGATTTCACGGGTTTTGATAATTAGTAAAAAGGCTGCTAAGAATCTGAACTAAATTTTTGTATGAAATGTCTTAGTCAAAGACCCAAAACATGTTTATAGCTAAGCAAAGTTTTGGAGATTCTTCAGGGAAATTCGATGAGGCATTAAGTTGCTCAATGGTAATCACCAATTATGTTAGGGTCATATTTAAAAATAATCGTTGGAAGTCATGTAGTGTGTTATAAAACAAACTATTATTTAATGGATGGTAATTCTTTTGGAAATATGTTAGCATTAAAATATACAAGAAATCAGATCATAGGTATTTTTTCAAAACACTTTTAAAGAAGAAATGGAAAACTTTGTAATTTTTGCTAAATTTCGTAGTAACACCCCACTGGGAAGCTATGGAAGAAACACATTTTTGACATCTTCCAAATTCAACGTTATGTTTCAAGATCAGTTTTACGAACTGGTTCTGAAAAGTTTCAACATATCTATAGCGGCCACACGTAGTAAAGCACTAAAAAGTAGACCCCATTTCTAGCTTACATATTTTTAAGAGAGATTATGCCCTTTATAAAGTTTTAAAGTTCTATTTTAAGCAAAAAGTGCTAACGTGGTGGAGAAATGTAACAATTATTTAACAGGAAAGAAATATGACCAAGACCATTACAAGGTCTCAATAAAACTTAGATGAATGCAAAGAATAAAAAAAAAAAAAAAAAATACATCTTTCTAACAGTTTTCACGTGGGCTCCAATGGAGTCTTCAGTTTGGTTTAATAAAAACCTGACAGCTAACAGGCTACCTGGATGCTCCTGCAGCATCTTCCTTCAACGCCGTGAGGCCAGAAGCGCATTTGGGGAACTGAGTGAGTTTTCCTGGCTTGGCTTTTTGGCCTTTCATCGGCTGCCTCTCTTCTCCTCAGTGTATAGAACATAACGCTCCCTAAACTGGTCATTAACCTTCTAATCACATCTGTCATTCTGAGAGAGCATGCCTTGACAAAGCTCCGAAAAGAAGGCCGCTGACTCCAGGGGGTAGTTTGGACCTCCCAGGCGGGGGGCCGGCTTATCTCCCCCGGGAAACTTGCCCAGAAACATGATCTCACACTTGTACACCTCCCAGGCCCAGTGGCCCAGCACCGACTGATGGACTGATCGTCTTGGGAGTTCACTTATTGCCAATGCACTCAATCTCTTGACTCCGGGGCTTACCCACGAGGCCAAATTTGCCTTCAGAGTTGTAAGGTCTTGAGGCATAGGTATGAAGAAAAAAACATAATGAACAGTACCGTTCAGAATGTGAAAACAGCAGCTGCTGGAATTTCCAGGCCCCCTGTCTGTTCTGTCTCATTTCATCTTTTACCTTGGATATCATTACATTAATATGGAACATAGCCGCACGCTACCGGGGGGCTGGGTAAATGAAGAAAGGCAGTTAATTCCTAAATGTGAGACAGCTGCCTGCGAGGAAGGCGACACAGCCTCCTGAAGCTAATGAAGGATATTGCCTCAGCAGCGCCTGGCACAAGTCGTCGGTTGTCATGAAGACGGTGTACGTGAGAAGGAAGTCATCAAGGAGGGTCTCTGCAAAGAAAAACAAACAAACACGAGGTAAGCAGAGCAGTGACAAGAAGGGCAACTGCTTATCCAGGCCCGGATCTTGCAGGACAGAAATGATAAAAGCTGGTGCACTGGGAGGGGGCTAGGAAGGAGAATTTTAGCTACAAAATACATTATTTATTAAAGTTAAGATTTTTAAAACTCCTTACACAGCCCTGGCTGGTTTGGCTCATGGTTAAAGCATCCTCCTGAGCACTGAAGGGTCTAGGGTTCAATTCCTGGTCAAAGGCAGGTACCTGGGTTGCAGATTTGATCCCAGGCCCGGGTCCAGGCTTGTTCAAGAGACAACCAATAGATGTGTCTCACTCACATCAACGTTTCCACTCTCTGTCTCCCCCCCTTCCCTCCCTCCCTCCCTTCCTTCCACTCTCTCTAAAAAGCAATGGAAAATATATCCTTGGGTGAAGATTATTTAAAAAAAAAAAAAATCTTCTTACACAAAATGCCTCAGGCAGTGCGATATTTTTATTGCAAGACTCTAAACATACAACTTTTGTCATCTTTTCCCCCCTAGAACATCATTCATAGTTGTAGGTAAAGATGTTATGGAAAACCCATGCATAAATCATGTGCTTTTAGAAATAAATTTTATAAGATTTCCGAGGTATACACTCCAGTCCTACAGGGAATGAAGCCTGCATGTTCTAATAAATTAAGGCTTTGAAAAGCCATCTACCTAAGTCCAGAGCAAGAACAATAGCCAATAAAACTTGGGGGACATGTATCAGGTTCCAAGGTCATTCACCTTTATCTCTCAGATGTGTCTGTAAGAGGCTGGGAAAGTGGTGAGTGATGTTCTTATTGCTGTGAAGAGAGACGGAGGGGAGTCCATGCTCCTTCCTAACCCCTCTCCTACGTCTTTGACCAGCAAGCACAGGTTCCGTTTTCATTGCCTCTTTGCCTTGAGTGTTCTTTGAAAGGCCCAGCTTACGTATAATTATAGAACTGCTTAGCCGGCAAACGCCGACCTCAAATGCAACCCCCAAACTGACGGAGAAGATAATATGCAGAATGCAAAGGAGAGCTGCTGCCCTAAGTCTCTAATCTTCTTAACTTGAGGTTCACTTTACTATATGATTTCATGTTCATATCTTTCACATTCTGGATATCAAATTTTTAGTTATTTGAAATACTAATAAATTATAAGAAGAGCAGGCTATTTGTATACTCAAGAGCATTTATGCTCTCCAAAGTCTATATATTATAAATGTGTGGACAGAAAGAACTGCCCAGTACAGAACTTTATAGCTACAGGTTGAAGACTGGAAAAATTCCAGAATTTTTAGAATGAGTAACATTTACTTTAAAGGTGTTCAGTGCAAAGCAACAAGGCTATGCTTACGAACACAAACCTCTGATAAAAGAGGCTGTGGATGACGCTTACAGACCTGTATCAGCTGCAGGGGTTAATTTATGTCTATGCTTTGCTTACGTTGCAGAATGTCAACGTAATCCTGATCCAACAGGTAAGTGGTTGCAAATGATAACGCTCAACAACAACAAAAGAAGGGTATTAAGGGAATGGAATTTTTCCCCCCAAAAAGATCTTTATTTTAGGTAACAATATTCCTTCTTAAAAAATAAATTTGACAAGTGGCACCTAAAATATAAATTAAGCCTGAACTTATAACGTTGTATCACACCGCAACATGTGAACAGTCACTGGTCTAACTTGCTGTTACTTTACGGCAAAAGCAGGGTTCCCAGACACATGTGCCTGGGCCTTGCTGAGCATGGTAAGTCCCTTACAAGTAAACTGTGGGAAGGTGGCTGGTTGGACAATTTAATGTGAGTGGACATGCACAGCCTACATTCATGGAAGAGCTAGGAGTTCTCTACTGGAGTCCCTGTTCACAAAAGTCTTAAATCTGTGCACGAAAAGGCAGGAGAAGCTTTATTTGAAGATCTGCCCCCAAAGTCATTAACCTGGCAGCAAAAATGTATCACTGGTCACCCTAATGAAAAATGTGGAATAAACATTTGAAACTTTATGTATCTTTCATGAAGGTTTTTAAATAGTTTAAATTAAAGTCAAACAATGGCATAATGCCTGAATCCCTGGGATATTCTGGAATACAATTTAAACGCTCTCACTCTGGGATGCTATTGAACAGAAATGTTCACATAGTGTAACGTTTTTCTGTACTAAATGTAATTGATGGGAATCCTCAACTTCTCTGGTCTGATTAGAAATTGAGGGTTTTATGTGTGTTTGTTTGTTTTTTTGAATTCAGTGGTAGATACAGGCAGCAAGGAACAGAGAATAGTCTAGAATCTGTTTCAGATTGGAGCCAATAACATACAGAAGCCACTGGGTGACAGTGCTGAGAACATTACACATTCAGCATTTAAAATGCTTGACGTGCTACTCAGGTTCAGACTCTTCGGGATGTTCTTACACTTAGCAAATTTAATGAGGTTGGAATGATTCTCTAATCAAGATTTACTCCATTAGTAGCTGAGATTAAAAAGAACACCATTAACTTTGACATAACCAGTCATTCCATTCTGGAACAGCCTCCGATAATGAACGAGGGGCTGTGAGAGTCTGGTTGGATGTTGGCAAAACAATTTGGCATTCAGTTCAATTAATCAGCTCACATATGACAATATTTTGTTAAGGGCTTTGACCCAGAAATGCTTATTTCCCCAAAGTTACTAGCATATTTAATATTCAATGCATTTACCTAATTATCTCTCCTGCCATAGAAATACTAATTAAATAAAAACAATCAGGAGACAGAACAACTTCTCCAGCTAAAATCCTAATGAACAGAACAGCTAAAAAGTGTCAAGAATAGAACAGATTCCCAATACTCTTAACTCACCTTTCTCTATTTAGCTACCATATTGTTCTGAAAATTTCCTATATATAAAGAGCTTTCCTTTATTCTTTTTCAGCGCTGTTCTTTTTCTTTTTTTTTTGCTGCACATGAAAGCAATTGAGTGATATAATCAAAATGACACACTTCAAGTAAAAGTGCATTTTATAATAGCCATGCTTCAAAAAAGGCTGTCCCATTGGTATTTACAGATATTTTTAGAACCGCAATAGCTACATAAATGATCCCCTGAAGACTATTAGAAAACAATAGCCATTTAGAAAGACTAGCAAATCCATTGGCATCCACATTAAAACTCTATAATTATCTATTACAGTGTATAGTGCTTAATTAATAGTAATTTAAGACTAGGCAGAAAAGCACCTCTGTGTATAAAAGCATCTTTCATTTAAACAAATTCCTGGTTGCTGTGTACACTAACGTTCTTATAAAGAGATGCATTCATTTGATTTCTGACTCCGTAAATACCAAGGTATCAATACACAAAAACCTTTTCTTTGAAATTCTAGTCATTAAATCAATCACTAAATCTAATCCCAAATTCTTGGCTCATCCCTGACAAAACTATTTGGCCATTCCTTTGGGAATACCCCTTCCTTAAAAATAAACGATTTTTTTGGTAATGGCTTTTTAAAATACAGGAAGTCCTCTTACATTCTAAAGGTAACATGCTGATGGCAATCAAAACTGGAAAGCAAACAATATTACAATTTTAAGTGCTATGCAACGTGAAATAAAATGTATCAACGTGCAGTCAAAACCCAGAGCCCTGATAGACAGAGCCCTAAAGTTCAGTCTACCATTAGCTGCAATGATGTTCCTACAAGACTTTTCCTAGCATCTGTTACTGTTTTAATTTTAAGGCATAAGAGTTGTCTATTTTTATTTGGCTTGACTTGAATGTATTTTTCTTTCATATCTAAATTAAAATATTCTCTCAGTCTCATGCTGAGTGTCTCAAGCACTCATAATTTCTATTTTATTTCTGCAAAACACAAGTGTCCCTGGACGTGTGTCACGGTGGAACAGTAATTGGTTTGATGCAGGTCCTTTTTGTAAGGGTCTATTACATAAATGTAATCAAATTAGAGAGGGACTGAGCTAAATGTTTCCAAGAGGTCTAAGCTTAACGCTTCTTTTTTTTTGGTAAAAAAGAAGAGAGAAAAACACCATAAAAACAAACCCTGAAGTCTAGAAGTCATGAGTACAGGGTTACTTAGGAGCAATCAGAGAAATCTAATCTAATCAGTTATTTTTCAACACCCATCAGCAAAATGCATGGCGATGATGAAACCACCCATCTGCTAAAGGGAACCACCAAGAAAGCCAATGAAAAGCACTGAGGAAGGTAATCTCTGTTCTCACCTCCCCTGCAGCACTGTTAGCAGCTCTGTCCGCCGGGATTTCCACCTCCGCTGCGATGGACTTTAAGGCACTCGAGAATACGTTCTCCTTTCTCTTCACTTCAAGGAGCCAAGAAAAGCTCTGTCCTGAAAGGGCCCCTTTCTGGCCCTGGAATGTCACAGCTCACCATTATTTTTTGAGAAGCTGTGCCAACACGTACCATGTAATTTGATTAAGTGCACACGTGTGCACGCGTGTGCGCGCACACACACACTTTAATGTTCATGTTTGAATCGTAGGTTAAAGTACTATACCATTCAAAGCTATGCGTCTTTCTCTGTGTATTTTATATTTCTGAAAGTAATATTAATGACCTCCAGTGCAGCGTTTAAATTCATTCAATTCCTTGCACATTTTTGCAGTTTCACCAGGGTATTGCTTAGACAGTCTAAAACGACCAAATCTTATTTTTCAATATTGGTTTCACAAGAAATGCTTACTATTTAATACTGTTTCTACATCAAACCTTAAAAGTCAGCCGTAAAATAACAGGGACTTATTACAAACAGGCCTTGGGTCTCTCTCTCCAGATGATGAAATTGGTTTTCATTTTAGGAAAGAGAGATTTGAATATAACAGGTATTATGCTCTTAGTTACATTCCATGCCACGCGCTGCCTTTAAAAATGCCACTGGAAGGCCCGGCCGGGCGTGGCTCAGCGGATGAGCATCGACCCAGGGTCCAGGAGGTTGAAGTTCGATTCCCGGTCAGGGCACA